GAGGTATTTAGAAGAAAGCAGAAACATATCCATATTTATATAAATATGTACATGATCCCCTCTGGACAACAGTAGCAAGCTTCTCAGCAGAGACAGACACACACACACACAGAGACACAGACACAGACACAGACACAGACACAGACACACACACACACACACACACACACACACACACACACACACACACACTGCAATAGCATCTCTTCTTCATCATGTCCGAATCCCTTTCAGGCAAGAACATGCATCCTTTTTGGTGGAGCAGATGACGTAACACAGTTTGTTAGGGTCATACAGTGATGGACAAGGAAATTTAACAGAAATTTAAATCTCTCAGAACCAAAGTCAGCTTATACCTATGGATGAGAGAGAACCGCTCCCTCTCTTCAGTCTGCTACATAGTCAGTCAGCTCTTTATGTCTATGGTGTCCTTGCTATGGAGTCAACCAACTCTAGACTGATCTATATCATTTATATCATTATATGTGTGTGTGTGTGTGTGTGTGTGTGTGTGTGTGTGTGTGTGTGTGTGTGTTGTCTATGCTAAATATGCACAGCCTTCCCTAAATAAATTATTATAATGATTTGGGTAGCAAACACCTTACTGGTATCATAAATAACCAAAAAGTGATTTAAAGTACATGGGAGAATTGAATAGATTGTAGGCAAATGAGAGACACCATTTTACACATGACTTTGGGATTCACAGACTCTGACTGATAGGCAGAGAGGTCCTGGGACCAAGCCCTCATGGGTATCAAGGGACAACTGTGTCTAGTGTCAGTCACTGAGACAATGTGGGTTAAAATGCCTGATGGTGCTAAGCATCCCTGTACCAGAAAGATCTAGTGGGTAGTCAGAACAGCAGCACCCAGCAGAAAATTGCCCTTCCTAGAACTCACAGTACCCGAAAGACCTTCTAAATTACTGTATTTTTACCTGATGAATGTTATTTCCATCTCTATTTTTAGCATTACATTCCTACAAAAGCATTTTCAAGAACAGAAAAACACATTGTCTTAGAATCTATTAAGCGTGACCTACTCTCCTGGCATGTCAGAGACAAAACAGTGTCATTTCTCAGATTGCTCCTTTTTTAATACAGAATTTCTGGGAAGCAATCAACCCAAATGGGTTTTTAAATTTTTTATTTGTTTATTTTGAGATTGGGGTCTCCTGTAGGCCCAAACTGACCTTGAACAAGACCTTGAATTTGCGTGACCCGCCTGCCTCCACCTCCTGAGTGCTAGGATGATAGGCACACCACCAAGCTTGGCTTACAAGGTGTCGGCTATTGAACCCGGGGCCACCTGTGTGCCAGGCAAGCACTCCACGAGCTTAGCCACATCCCTGCCCCAGGCTTTACTTCTTTATAGTAGACGTCTTACCACTTTGTAACTGGAACATTCCACAGTGTGTGAATTAAGTCATTAACACTTCGTCTTTTATCAAGCATGAAGTTGTTGAAAATGCTGAAGATGCTGAAAAAAATAGAATTTGGTTTTCCTAGACATCCAAATTTAAAAAGCACGGGAGGATCAAGTTTGCAACAAAGTATTAAGTTGGCAGCTTAGATTTCTACAGGGAAAGCAGGACATTTGCGTTCCTATTTCCATGTAAGTGATAGGATCCCTTTTTTTTTTTTTTTTTCCGAGACAGGGTTTCTCTGTGTAGCTTTGCGCCTTTCCTGGAACTCACTTGGTAGTCCAGGCTGGCCTCAAACTCACAGAGATCTGCCTGGCTCTGGCTCCCGAGTACTGGGATTAAAGGCATACGCCACTGCCCCCCAGCTGTCCCTTTTTAAAGGAAACAATTTCCCTTAAACTCAACGCGGCCCAGGCTCCACTTTGGCAATATCAGCACAGATAAAGTTGGTGAGGTGTCAAAATTTAGGAAAATGAAAATCCCATTTAGAAGGTTCACTGAGAAGCAAAAGGAGGAGGTGTGTTAAGTCAGCTTCTTATACTGTAACAAAACACCCAAGACAAATCAGCTTACAAAGAGGAAAGGTCTATTTCTGCTCATAGTTTTGGAGGTCCCAGATAAATAAGTATTATAATAAAACTGGGATTATTATAATAGCTACAATCAACTGGTCCCGCTGCTTTGGGCCTGTGGTAGGAGCATAAAGAAGAGTTATTTGGCCTCGTGGCCAGAAAGGGAAAGAACAAGACACCAGGCCCATAATTCCCATCAAAGACACCCTGCCCCCAAGTGACCTAAGACTTTCCACTAACCCCACGTCCTGAAGGTTCCTCCATCTCCCGGTGGGGCCACCCTAGGGACCAAGATTTTAATGCACAGGTCTTTGGACAACATGCAAAATCCAAACTACAGCACTCATATGAGATGTTCGCTTTTGTCAGGGGCT